TTTGCGAGACTTCACGGATTGAGGGCGGGTCGTTTTCAAAATGTGACTCACGCTTTAGCGCCGCGCACAGTCGTTTTCAAAATTTGCAAGAGCTTCACGGATTGAGGGTGGCTCCTTTTCAGAATGTGGCTCTCGCCTGAGCGCCGCGCACATTCGTTAAAATTTGCAAGAGCTTCACAGATTCCCATGATCCGCGTACCAGACATGACGTTCTGGAAGGATTCAGGATTATCGCTGTGTTGAAATCCCAAAACATGGCGCTCTGGCACGACTCTGGATCGTCAAGACGCAGCAGTCAGATTGCTACGTGGCGTTGACATCCCGAGAACAATGTTTTGGCACGCTTCAGGATCTTCGAACTCTTGTCTTCCAGCGAGGCAGTTCCCTCGATGAAAATGAACCGTTGTAGGGGCCTATGAAGAGGGAGCTTGGAGGGAGGGTTAATTCCAACATCATTGATGACTCTTGGGCTTCCACTGGTCCTCCTCCTCCTCCTCCTCCTTCTCCTCCTCCTCTACGTCCTCCTCCCCCTCCTCCTCCCCCTCCTCCTCCTCTACGTCCTCCTGACCCTCCTCCCCCTCCTCCTCCTCCGCCGAGGCAGGGTGCGGAGGGGCAGGCAGAGAGCGCGCGCGCGCGCCGGCGCCCGCGCCCACTCCTCCTCCTCCACCTCCCCTCCTCCTCCTCCTCCTCCTCTCCTCCTCCTCCTCCTCCTCCTCCTCCTCCCCTCCCCTCCCTCTTCCTCCTCCTCCTCCTCCTCCTCCTCCTCCTCCTCCTCCTCCTCCTCCTCCTGCTCCGCCTCCTCCGCCTCCTCCGCCTCCTCTCCTCCTCCTCCTCCTCCTCCCTCCTCCTCCTCCCCTCCTCCTCCTCCTCCTCCTCCTCCTCCTCCTCCTCCTCCTCCTCCTCCTCCGCCTCCTCCGCCTCCTCCTCCTCCTCGACGACGACGACGACGAACGAGGACAAGGACGACGACGACGAGGACTCCCACCTCCCCCACCCCTCCCCCCTTCCCGCCGCCCCCCCCCCCCCTCACCCTCTCCTCCCCCCTCGTACCACCAGCCCACCGCCCCCTGCCCTTCACTTCTCCCCACCCCTCTCCCTCTCTTCCCTCCCCCTCCGCCCCCGCCCCCCGAGCGCGGCAGGGCACGTTGGCGTCGGTTCTACAGCACCAGACAGGCCGCTTCGCGGCCATGGTCACAACACCCTGGGCTACACCTGGCAGCACTGAGCACCCACGCCTGAGAGTCGACCCTGACAGGTCTGCGGGACCCAGCGGGTAGCGACCAGCAACCCCACTCGAGCCGCCATGGCAAACCAACACCAACGACCATGACATGCAGCATGCTGCGCAAGCGCGACAAGTAGCTGCAAAGGCGCTCTGGAGATCATTGATACTATACCACCACCACCACCACCGCCACCACCACCGCCACCGCAATGACCGGCCAGGGCCGTCCTGGGCCACGGGGCGAGGCCAGGAAGGCACCCGTCCGTCACCGTGCCCCCATGGCACGCTGGGGCCGTGGCAGAAGGCCGCGTGCTGCCCGGCAGGGCTTCGCCGTGAATCGCCAGAGGGATGCCCCCCCTCCTGGTCACGGGGTGAGGAGGAGGAGGAGGAGGCGGAGGAGGAGGAGGAGGAGGACGCTCTCCAAGGCGTCCAAGATGCTCAATATGGCTTCCCCGACGGCCGAGATAGGTCACCAGGACCGAACAAGATGGCCCAAGATGGCCCAAGATACCTGCCTCCAAGACGGCACAAGACGGACCCGAAACAACCTCAAGACAACCCGAGAGGTTCCCGAGATTGCCCAGGAGAGTTTCAAGAGGACTCCCAGAAGGGCCTGGAGAGCACCGAATCACATGTGCTCCATACGTTATGATATGATGTTGTTCTCACCTTCTCAGCCTTGCGTCAGCCGAAGACAGCCCCAGAGGCACCAAGACGGCCAAAGAGGCCCCCGGGCCTCCACACGGTCCAACGCGCCCTCAAGATGGCCGAATGGGGCTTCAAGACGACCCCCAAAAGGACCCGAAGAGAACAAATCATAGATTATAAAAAAATTGAAATACGTCCGCCTTCTCATATCGTCATTCTTCCGTCAGCTCCAGATGCAGATGGCTCGAGGAGCCCTCCAAGATGGCCCGAGGAGGCCCCCAAGGAGGGCCCCACCGCGGCCCAAGAGGCCCTCGAGGTGGCCCAAGAGACCTCCAGGACGGCCCACAGGGAAGCCCCCAGACCGCCACACGAGGCCCCTAACACAACCCTGCAGGGCCCCAGGGGGCCCCAAACACGGCCCCAGAGAGGCTCCAACACGGACGCCGAAGGCGCCAGGCTGCCGGAGAGCGCGCCAGCACGGCTCGAGGTGCGCCGAAGAGCCCCCGAGAGGCCCCCAGGCGCCCTCACGAGGCCACCCCGAGGCCCCCACGAAGCCCCCGAGAGGCAACTGGCCAAGAGAGGAGAGGGTACGAATAGTCGGCGCGCAGAAGGGGGTGGCGGGAGGCGGGGAGGCTTCTTAGAAGGACGCTGCTTCTCAGAAGGCGCGGGCCTTCCATCTGTAGAGAAGGCCCGCGCCTTCTAAGAAGCAGGGGTGCCTCTAAGAAGCCCTCCCCGCTCGCCCCATACCCCCCTGCGCGTGGCCGAAAGAAGAGAAAGGGAGGGAGACGACGACGACGAAAGCGAGGACAAACACCCCGACAGGGCGCGGAAAAGCGCCAAGTTCGACGGCTCCCCCTGGCCTCGGCACACGAGGTGTCACGAGTTCCGGCTGCCTCTGCGCGCCCCGAAAAATTGCCACCCATGAGCATCGTTTAAGCGATCCCAGCCCCAGCGGCGTGGCCTGGCCCCCACTGGCCGATCTACCCCCCTAGATGGGGATATAGGTCGTTCGGGTGTCGAGGGGTGGATCCCCAACTGGGGGGTAATTTGGTGAGGGTCTCGAAGGGGATGGGGATGGGGATGGGGATGGGGATTGGTTAAACGATACCAAACCCAGACTGCTGGGCTGGCACGGTGGCGGGACGCGTCGTAGGCACCTGGACCGACCATCCTGGAGCCAAGGACGGCCCCGGCCAGGCACGGTGGCGGTGTGCGGCAAGGTCGCGTCATGACAACCCCGGCGTTGGATCCTGCAACCACGTGGATCGTTCGTCGCGTGGACCGTTCCACGGCCGCAACCGGAGAGCCAAGACTCAGAAAAGGCGAGATCTGGGCAGACTCCGCACAGGCGTGGCTGAGACGGAAAACGGCACTGGTATCCCAAGGACCAGACGAGCCCGAGCAAGCTTATACACGCAGACTTCTTCAATCCTGAACTGAGGCTGCTTCTCGATCCCCAGCAGATCAGTCCACATCGGGAGATTCTGGGCGACTGGCGGCGCTCGACCGCCCGCGGCGAGGTCGCCACCTCGTGACTAAACACGACGCTAGCCTGCTGTGGGTGGCGACTTCTGCAGGGAGGAGGAGAGGAGGAGGAGGAGGAGGAGGAGGAGGAGGAGGAGGAGGAGGAGGAGGAGGAGGAGGAGGAGGAGGAGGAGGAGGGGGGCGGAGGAGGAGGAGGAGGAGGAGGAGGAGGAGGAGGAGGAGGAGGAAGGAGGAGGAGGAGGAGGAGGAGGAGGAGGAGGGAGGGAGGAGGAGGGAGGGAGGCGGAAAGAGGGAGGCGGAAGGAGGAGGAAGAGGAGGACCAATGTAAACCCAAAATGAATCAACGATGTTGGAATACACCTTCACTCAAATTCTCCCTCTTCACAAACCCCGGCAAAATCGTTTCCACTGAGGGAAGCGCGCCGGTTGGGGACAACCGTGTGAAAATATTGACGCGTGCCACAACGCCATTCTCAGGAACTCAACGCCACTAGTCAACCTGACTGTTGCGTCTTGACGATCCTGGATCGTGCCAGAACACAAATCCTGGGACTTCAATACCGCGAATCAGCGAATTGTTGCGCCCTGCCAATCCTGGATCGCTTCAAAACACTACTTCTGGAATGCTAGCCATGTGAACCCGTGAAACTCTTGCAAGTTTTTAAGACGAATGTGCGCGGCGCTGAAGCGAAAACCACAATTTGAAAGCGAGCCGCCCTCAGTCCGTCAAAATCTTGCACATGTTGAAAACGAGTGCACGCGGCGCTGGGGCGAGAGCTCCAGTTTGAAAACCAGCTGCCCTCAATCCACGAAACCCTTGCCGATGTTTGACAACGAACTACGCGGCGCCAAGGCGAGAGCAACATGTTGGGAACGGCCACGACAGTGCGCGGCGCGAAGGCGAGCGCCACATGTTGAGAACGAGACGCCCTCAATATGCGAAGCGCTTGCAAATGTTTGAAACATGTGCGAGGCGCTGAGGCGATGGCCTCGTTTTGGAAGCTACCCGCCCTCCATCTGTGAGACTGCTGTAAGCTGTTGAGCTTCGGGCTCATAAAGGGTAGCGAAATCTCCAGTGAAACTCCTGGCCCACCCTTCCGACTGGTCTCGGGGTGCGACAGGGAGGAGTTATTCACAAGGGCAAGGAATGGAGGAGGAGGACGAGGAGGAGGGAGGAGGAGGAGAGGAGGAGGGAGGAGGAGAGGGGGAGGGGGAGGAGGAGGAGGGGGGAGAAAGGGGGAGGAGGACGTAGAGGACGAGCAGGAGGAGAGGAGGAGGAGGAGGAGGAGGAGAGGAGGAGGATGAGGAGGAGGGAGGAGGAGGAGAGGAGGAAGGAGGAGGAGGAGGAGGAGGAGAAGAGGGAGGAGGAAAAAGAGAAGAGAAGGAGGAGGAGGAGGAGGAGAGGAGGAGGAGAAAGGGAGGAGGAGGAGGAGGAGGAGGAGAAGAAAAAGTAGGAGGAGGAGGCAGGATGAGGGAGGAGGAACGAGAAGGAGAAAAAAGGAAGAAGGAAGAAGGAAGAAGGAGGAGGAGAGGAAGAAGGAGGCGGAGGAGGAGGGAGGAGGGGAGGGGGGAGAAGAAGGAGGAAAGCGAACCACCACAAAGGCACCCGGCAATCGCCCACAAAAAATGCGGGGGGGGCTGCCTGGAAGCACTCGGTCTGCCTGGCGAGCAGGTCCGCCTGGGGCTGCGCGCGCCCTCCCCCCCCCCGAGAGGGCGAACCATTGAGGAGCAGCAGCATCGCGGGGCTCGAGTTTCGAAGTTCGAACGGTGAGGAGGAGCAGCAACCAGGGGCTGTCAGGAAACGGCCCGGAACGAAAAGCAGGTGTCAGGAAGAGAAAACGAGATGTCCTGGGCCCCGAGACTCGAAACTGTCGAACCGTCGGAGGTCTGGGTAGCTACCATGAGGAGGAGGAGGAGGAGGAGGAGGAGGAGGAAGAGGAGGAGGAGGAGGTGGGAGGAGGAGAGAAGGGACAGGGGAGGCAGCGGGAGGGTGGAAGAGGGGAAGGACGGTGAGGGCGGAAGGAAAGGCGGGGGGGAGGAGAGAAAAAGTTGAGGGGGGAGGGGAGGGCTGCAGAGAAACGGGGGGGAGGCGAGGCGGCGAGGGAGAGGAGAAATAGGATGCTGGGAAAAGGAGAGCAGACGGAGGCTTCGCAGGCGGCCGCCTGCTTCTCGATCTCGTCGAGCTGGCTCTTCACCGACTGCGTCCGCTGCTCCGCCTGCTTCCTCTTCCCATCTGGCGCGTCTGCGCAGGCGAAGCCCTTGAGCCCCTTGATCATGCCCCTGAGCGCGTCCTGCTGCTCCCAGATCAGGTCCAGCGAGTGGTCCACGGCCTCTCGGGAAACGTGAGGGTGGAGGTGGAGCCAGAGGAAAACCGCTATCGATGCGGCCTGGAACCAGGAGATGCGAGGAGGAGGAGGAGGAGGAGGAGGAAAAGGATGGGGTATGAGTAGGATGGGAGGAGGAGGATGAGGAGGAAGGAGGGGGGGGGGGGAGGAGGAGGAGGGAGGGAGGAGGAGGATGAGGAGGAGGAGGTGATTAAAGGAAGGGGAGGGAGGAGGAGGAGGAGGGAGGGAGGAGGAGAGAAGGAGGAGGAGGAGGAGGAGGAGGAAGGAGGAGGAGGAGGAGGAGAGCAGGAGGAGGGTAGGAGTAGGGGACGGAGACAGGAGGGGAGGGAGGAGAGGAGGAGGAGCAAGGAGGAGGGGAGGAGAGGGGAGGGATGGGGAGGGGAGGGATGGAAGGGGGGAGTGGGAGGGAGGGAGGGGGGGGGAGAACGGGAGGAAGGGGGGAGGAGGGGAAGGGAGGGGAGTCCGGGGAGGGAGGGAAGGGGGGGGAAGGAGGGAGGGAGGGAGAGGGAGGGAGGTGAGAGGTAGGGAGGAGGAGGAGGAAGGAGGAGGAGGAGGAGGGGGAGGAGACACGATGAGGGAGGGAGGAGAAGAGGAGGAGGACGGAGGAGGAGGAGGGAGGAGGAGGAGGAGGAAGGGAGGGAAAGGAGGAGGAGGAGGAGGAGGGGAGGTAGGGGGGGAGGGGAGGGAGGAGGAAAAGGAGGAGGAGGAGGAGATTAGGAAGGAGGAGGGAGGATGAGGGAGGAGGAAGGAGGAGGAAGGAGGGAGGGGATGAGGAGGAGGAGGAGGAGGAGGGGGATGAGGCGGAAAAGGGATGAAACGAGGCGAGACCGAAGGAGGACGAGGAGGACGAGGAGGACGAGGAGGACGAGGAGGACGAGGAGGACGAGGAGGAGGAGGAGGAGGAGGAGGAGGACGAGGAGGAGGAGGAGGAGGAGGGGGTGGGGGCCGTCCCATTCCCTCCTCTGAATCTTGGGATGACCCTCTTCCAGAGGCCTCCTCGGTGGGGTCGGAGTAGGTAGGGTCGGAGGATCGCGCCGCATCGTCGATGCATCGACGATGCATCGCCGATGCAACGGCGACGCCGGCGATGTATCGGCGGTGTCGTTGTGGAGGAAATCGGGCTCAACATCGAGCCGCATCGGCGATGCATCGGCGATGCGGGAGGCCTCGATCTACGGAGCCCCGAGCCTTCTGTCTGGCGAGCATCGTCTCGTACTTGTCGCGGAGCCTGCGGGCCTGGGCGCTGTGCTCCGATAGCTCTCGGTCCACCTGCAGCGCCTCCTCCGCACTGGCCTGGAAGCGCTTCACCTGGGCGCCCAGGCGCTGGTCCCAGCTGCGGAGGAGGCCCTTGGCGGCCTGGCGGGACTGGTCGGCATCGACTCGGGAAACGGAGCGGATCGGGCAGCGTCGGCTCGGGCCCAAAATCGGATCGGATCGGCCGCGTCCGGACGCACAACGGCGCCGCGCAGGCATCGGGACGCATCGGCGCGCCGGAACACCGGGATCGAAGCAGGTCGGACCGGCCGAGATCGATGCCGGATCGGCTCGATCGGACCGACGCGGACACCGCCTGGTGCTCGCCGCTGGTCAGCCGCAGCGGCGCCGGCTCGGAGGCGCCCGCGCGCTCGGGCGGCGGCGCGCCGCCCGACTTCGAGAAGGGCGCGGGCCGGGCGCCCGCCCTCTCGGAGGGCGCCTCGCGCTCGGAGCCCGGCTCCTGCGCCGCCGGGGGCGCGCCTCCGCCGCCGCTGCCCGCCGCCTCGGTGCCCCCGGACGGCGCGCCTCCGCTGCCGAGCGCCGCTCCGCCAGCGAAGAGCCCCCCGCCCGCGGCGGGGCCGCCTCCGAGCAGCGCGCCTCCGCCGCCGAAGAGGCCACCGCCACCGCTGGCGCCGGTGCTGGCGCCGCCGGCGCCGGTGCTGGCGCCGCCGAAGAGGCCACCCCCGCTGCTGGCGCCGAAGAGGCCTCTGGTGCTGGCGGCGCCCGTGCTGGCGCCGCCGAAGAGGCCACCGCCGCTGCTGGCGCCGAAGAGGCCTCCGGTGCTGGCGGCGCCCGTGCTGGCGCCGCCGAAGAGGCCGCCGCCGCTGCTGGCGCCGAAGAGGCCTCCGGTGCTGGCAGCGCCCGTGCTGGCGCCACCGAAGAGGCCACCGCCGCTGCTGGCGCCGAAGAGGCCTCCGGTGCTGGCGGCGCCCGTGCTGGCGCCGCCGAAGAGGCCACCGCCGCCGCTGGCGCCGAAGAGGCCTCCAGTGCTGGCGGCGGCGGCCCCACCGCCAAAGAGACCAGCGCCGCCGCTGGCGCCGCCCTCGGGCAGCTCGCCACCGCTACTGCTGCCGGCGCCGCTCCCGAGGAGGCCTCCGCCGCCGCCACCGAACAGCCCGCCTGCGGAAGCCGCGCCGAGGAGGCCCGCGCCGCTGCCGCCGTCAGCCGCGCCTGGGGCTGCCCCGAACAGGCCCGCGCCGCTGGCACCGCCGCAGCCTGCCGTGCTGAAGAGGCCTGCGCCGCCTCCTTCCCCGCCAGCCATCCCGAGGGCTGACCCAAAGGGACTCGAGCTGCTGCTGCCGCTGGCAACTGCGCCGAAGAGACCCGTACTGCCACCGCTGCTGCTGGCGCCGAAGAGCCCTCCCGCGCCGCCGCCACTGGCCGCACCAAAGCCGCCACTGCTGCTGCCAGTGCCCGCTGCGCTGAGACCTGCACCAAAGGGACTCAAGCTGCCGCTGCCGCTGCCGCTGCTGCTGCCGCTGCTAGCAGCTGCCCCAAAGAGGCCTGCACTGCCGCCGCTGCTGCTGGCGCCGAAGAGCCCTCCCGCGCCGCCGCTGCTGGCCGCGCCGAAGAGGCCACCGCCGCTGCCAGTGCCCGCTGCGCTGAGACCTGCCCCGAAGGGACTCAAGCTGCCGCTGCCACTGCTAGCAGCTGCCCCAAAGAGGCCTGCACTGCCGCCGCTGCTGCTGGCGCCGAAGAGCCCTCCAGCGCCGCCGCTGCTGGCCGCGCCGAAGAGGCCACCGCCGCTGCCAGTGCCCGCTGCGCTGAGACCTGCCCCGAAGGGACTCTCACTGCCGCCGCCGCTGCTGGCAGTTGCCCCGAAGAGCCCCGCGCCGCCGCTGCTGCCAGAGCCAGCGCCGAACGGGCCTGCCGCGCCACTGGCGGAGGCCGCACCTAAGAGGCCCGCGCTGCTGCCGCTCCCGGCCGCGCCGAGGGCCGCCCCGAACGGGCTCGTTCCGCGCGCTATGGAAGAGGAGAAAGCTGCTGGTTGGGAGCTTTCCGGGCAGCCGGCACCAAGAGGCCCCGCGCCGGGGGCGCCGGCGGCCCGCGCCGGCCGCGCGGCGCCGCGCCCGGCCGCGCAGGGGCCGGCCGCCTCGCCGGCGCCGCCGCCGCCGGCCCCGCGCCCCCGGCCGGCCCGCCGGCCGCGGCGGCGGCCGGCCCGCCCCCGCCGCGACGGCCGCCCGGCGCCGCCGCCCCCGCCCGCCGCCGCCCCGGGGCCCGCGTGCCCGCGCCGCCGCCGCCGCCGCTGCTAGCGCCAAAAGGGCTCGGGGCGCCCCCGCCGCTGGTCGCGCCGAGGAGGCCACCGCCGCTGCCGCCGCCTGCCGCGCCGAGGGCTGCACCGAAGGGGCTTGCGCCGCCACTGGCTGCACCGAAGGGGCTTGCGCCGCCGCTGACGGCGCCGAAGGGGCTCGCGCCGCTGCTGCCGCTGGCGGCGGCGGCGCCGAAGGGGCTCGCGCCAGTGGCACCGAAGGGGCTGGCACCAGTCGCGGCGCCTGCTGCGGTAGGGAGGCCAGGCGAGGGAGCGGCAAAGACTGGAGAGAGGCGTTGACGAGAGGTCATGCCCCAGTCCCCGACCCGACAGACTGCTGGCGGCTGGCCGAGCCCGACTCGGGGATGCACGA